CCAATTCCAGTTGAACAAACAGGTACCGAAAAGTTCAGGGACAGGTTGTGTACATCAGAGGTTTACACGTTTTAATGGAAATAAATTAAGAACTAGACAATTCTCGTTTGTCACTATCGATGGATTTTGCCCCTTATGGTTTATCTGATCCATGAAAAAGCGATAGTGATTAGGAGACCGAATTTCCAGGTGCTTCATGTGACTTGGTTACAGAGCAGACCAGTGCGCAACAATCACAAACCGTGATCGGGACGAAAATGCATTCAGTCTCATTCAATCGTTTATTCTTTCTCAGTCTTTCCCTCTCGCTCTGTTTGTCTGTGCTTTTCCTTCTGCTTCGATAATCATATTATCTGAGTTGAAAAAACCCATCTATATCTGAGAGTCTATGAATTCGGTTTAGCTAATCGAAATTTCTCGACTGATTCAGTTTAAGCACTTCTCCCACGCAGAACAGGTTAACTGGACCACTATCAATGACCGGCCGTTATCGTTGGATCCGGTTGAATCGGATCGCTTTTGTTTACTCTGGGGGGGGGGGGGGGGGGNGTAGGATAAACAGACAGAGGGATCTATATGAAGCCACACAGGCTAGACCAGTTTTGGGGCGAAAGAGTTTATGCGAGTAGCGAGCGCATTACGACCAGAAAACGTTACAGGTTGTTCGACCTTGTGAAGGAATGGGAAATGTAGACCAGGGTAAGAATGACACAGTGAACCTTCGCCATGTACACAGTAGGCATCACTAACAACGATAAGGATTTTGCTGCTATCATTATTAATACCATTATCATTGTGAGTACTACTAATTAAAATACTCAAACTCGTCATAATGCTTAATTCTTAAATGAACTACCTAACTGCGGACAATAAATGATCTCAGTCGAACGGTGTTTCCATTGAGAAAATCGCCAGGGGACTTCGTTTATGAACACGGAGGTTTTAACTTAAACTAATATGAACATAGGCGAAAATTAGGCTTAAAACTCAGCAATGCAATTACTAATTTCTCTCTGTTCCGGCTCACAGATGAAACAGGATAGGTCTGCTCTATAGGTGCACATATTGCTCTTCAACAAACAAGTAACAAGGGGGAGATGATTAATTATAGGGCATTAATCTTAATCCGGCAAGCTAAATTCATCAATCTGATTTATTCTGTGTTCGTGGAGAATCGTAAAAGGCTGAAAAATGGTCAGATTATTTTTGTAGCTTTGTTTACCACTGGGTATGCTTTTTGCCAGGAAATCAGTCATAATAACATACGAATGACACACTACTGATATACTACTTTCGGTGCTTGAGTTATGAGTTCATTTGTGCTCCTTGTTTTCTCATGCTGAACTTTTTTTTATTAAACACTCAGGTGTGATGAACAGCCGACGGGGCGGACCCCATAGTCACGAGGACCTGCTGTTCAGTGATTGAAATCGGCAAGCTAAGCTCCGGGACTTGGAGTGGCGAACCACATAAAACCCCTATAGGTGAGGCGTGGTATTGAACCGGACGACAGCAGCGCTGCCTACCACCAATGAATGATCTAATCAATGTACGATTTTCGTGGAAGAGTTATTGTGTTTACACATAAGGCCAATACAAGTGCCTTCATGGCCAAAATATGCCATTGGTTACATCAACCATCCACAGTCTTTTCGCGTTTTATGCGATTTGTTATGTATATGGCTAATATGAAAATAACAGTAGTATGTTTACGGTATATAAATCGGAAGACACTGAATCCGTCTGCCATCAAATCTGAGTAGCTTCGTATGTGTGTGCGTGTGTTTTTGTACTCGTGTTCGGTCGGCAGAGGTTAAGAACCAACTGGGACTGACGAAATCAACCTGGATCGGAATGCACCATTGTATCAGTTGAACTGATGAAACAGTTACGCGTCCTAGAACTTCATTTCTGAGTTGTGCTTAACTTCTGGGATGAAACTAAGCATGCCTATGCATGGTTTGTAATGAACTGGTATTGAGCGATGTGGTAGATTCTCTCGATTCTCTAGTGACACCAATTCCGTTAGTCTAAAGAGAATAAGCCTAATAGAGCTGCGCGAGATATTTTGTTTCAAGGCATGACATTCAGCCAGATTGATTGATTATTGTCGCGTAGAATAGTAACAAGTAATAAGTAAAGCGGGCGGAGAAAAGTGGCATACTGGAGTATGAACCACTAATTTGAGACTGACTGGTGAAAACGACCCGAAACCAATCTATGGTATACCTGATCCAGACATGTTTGGAATAACATCCGGATACTGCAAACCCACTCAACGTTCTATTACTGACATGATGAAAAACACAACCCAATCCCCGCATTGCTCTCATGCCCAATTAGATTAGCACTAGCAGTACAGATAATCGATCATTCCTTCGGAGAGTAAAATCGATCAGACTGGTGGTTTAATTAGAAACTAATCGTAGAGGGATGCCTCGCGGTAGAGTTAGGTTAAAACAAATTACCCTGGTGAATTTTCTGTATTGCTCAAAAGTTTATGCTCAAAATGTATCGTTTCACAAGAAGAATAAAGTCCTTATAGAATGTCAGATAACAGGCACTTACCCCAAGACTATAAGCCACCGTCCCGTTGAGGCCGTAGTCTGAATCTTTGGCCAACGGTAGTACAGCCAATTCACGTCGTCTATGCCGACCTGTCTCAATGTTGCCGAGACCGACAGGACCTTCACTGTCCACTCCACTGCGCTGATCCAAATTGTCCCCGGCCCCGGGATTCTGGTTGTCCTCATCTGCCTCAAGCCACAGACCGCTTGTGTGCTGGTCAAATTTCGGCGCGTGGTCGTTCACGTCCCGAATTCGTACAGGTAGTTGGACAAATGTGGGTTGTTCGTGTCGACCGGTCGAAGCCGGAATAATGGCCAACTCTAAGTCGATGACGCAATCCACTTGATTTGGGTCATCATCTGAAGCGAAATAGAGTCAGAGGGGAGGGTTTTTAGAGGTAATGCAAAGTTACATTGATTCAGTCAAAAATAATTTTTTTTGAATAACTTTACCACATGAAGTTTTTTTGTTGAAACCACTGCAATCATTTTGATATTTATTGTGTCGAACGGACCACCTTCAGACTTCATCTACACACTGTGTTCTCAGGGATGGCGTTAGGCTGGACCAACCGAGAATTATGTTTATGCGTGTGTGTTCTATGTTGACTTTATCTCCTAATGATAACTTCAGGGGACATCCACTAAAGATGAAGTCCCAGAACAGCCACCATGATTGCCGGTATCACTCATTTGCGGTCAGAGTGTGCGGCGTATGAAATTGTCTTTCATCTGATGTAATGTGTGCTCCTACAGTTGAACTATTTCAATCGCAACTTGATCAAGCTTTGGAACACTTAAAATTTCAACGTCCGTGAGTGATCACGTAAATTGTTATGATTATTATTTTCTCTTTGTTAAGTTATTCAAAATATTCTGTAAAAATCCCATGCGGCAAGAAAAGCCTTAGCTTTATTAAATCGCCCATAATAAAACATTGACTTTGACTTTGAAATGAAGTCCATAGGATCTTCAGTCCAATGTAACATCACCTGTATGACATCAATGCTCACAAGTAACCGCGGATTTAATATCATTTAAAGTCTAGCGTATTAGAATTATAGCAAGGTTATCTGATTTTACGAGAGAATTTGTGATTTACTTGACAGTTAGTCAATTGTATCTTTTTGTTACTGACCAACCCAGTTAACTGACTAGCTATCTTAGAATATGGCATTTGAATAAAATTGAACACATAATTGTTGTAACCCCCTATGTGAGGTGGTCAAATCAGTGGTAATACACAAGGCTTTCCACGCAATAGGTATGGAGTTCAAAGCCTCAGTTGGGACAGTGAATTTTCCCTGCTAATGAACCCTAACGAGAGTAAAACTCGAGCCTATTGTGCTGCTTGAGTGTATGGCTGACTGGATGAATTGAACGTTGTGCAGACGGGTGAAGTCAGTCCAAATTAATATTACCCATCCTACACCACTACTTACAAGAGACTTTGGGTGAAACGTGAATTCTGACATCTGTTTCTTAGTCCAATTTTACTGGCCGGAGTCTTCATACAACATGACACCATAAAAGGTAACATTGAACTGCTGGTGCTAAGCAATCCAGCGCATTATCAAGCTTTCTAGATATTGCAATAGACTAGACCATTTATTAGCTTGGGGTGAGCAGAATCTCGCAGTGAAAACGTAAAATTCCAATTGATTCTAACCGGCTTGTCTGCACCATGCGGAACAAACTATTTGTGTGAAACTAGGCGGAATTTCTCTCTCTCTCACCTTGGCAAATAGTGTTGCTCACAGTCTCCAAAAGCATATGCGAAAATTGGATTGGTCTCTAGTTCACAACATGTGACGTAACTCGAGGAAAGTAGGGTATAAATACTACTTAAATGAGAGCTTAAATTATATTGCATGACTTGTGATAGTGCCAAATCTTAAATTTCAGTTTGAAAAATTCAAAGGTCGATCATTGCAACAAAAGCATTGGAAGGAAACCAAACTGTGCGAAAAGAAAATGCATCTTTTCGGATTGGTTTCAAATGTCAATTTGCATAAATATCATAGCTGTGTGCACAGGGGAATGATGAAAGCCATTCTATCGCCCCGCTCAGTCTTGTTTGTTGACTCGATCGTTTTCCGTCTCAGTGAGCTCCAGTGAATTCAGTGTTGGTATTCAAAGTACTATCGGGGAAACCAAATCAAAATGACCGGAAAAATGTAATCAAAGGCTTTAAATGTCGGCGGTTCACAAGTACTATCATAGTGACATGAGAATCTATATCTTTCATTCGTCATTTTCCCATATTTATGAGCCCCCTCTGTCAAGGTAAGTGTTATAAGGTTAAGGCTCATAACATGAAGTCACGTGTTTGGGAAAGGTCAGTGAAGGAGCTATTTATCGCAGATATCTTTTAAACTGTATCTCATGAACACTGCAACGAAATGGGAAATAGTTTCTTGTATCTGATTTTGATTCAACAGCCTGTCGAGTGTAGGTTTGCTCACGCTACTCCGTATACTGAGTTGAACATATAAGCAAGAAGAATCGGGCTTGCTCTGGTTAGAGCTTGACAATTGTGCCTATCCAGCGGTCTATCAGGGTTTGGAACTACGGATCGTTCCTTATGTGAGGTTTCTGTGCTACTGTTCTGGTAAGCAACACATACGGATATCTCTTAACCCATTCAGTGTTACAAGTGACGATCGGTTGTAAATGCTCCACCATTAGTTACCTGTTGCCAATATGTTCCATTTATCGATGGAGAAACTTTGCCCAATCAAATGAAAAGATAAAAACCACCAACGAGTTGTGCACCGGTATTTACGGCAAAATAGCACATTCGGAAAACAAAATGAAATACCTTTATGATACCCCTGCAGTCGGGTAAATGCTTTTTTTGGTGTCGGTTACCGTCTCGATATTTGATCTGTCGTTTGGTAGTAATGCTTAGTAAGGGCCACCATGTTCAGCAAAATGGGCCCCTGAGTCCTAAGGCACCAATTCATTCCAGTGTTACGTCTAATTCAAAGTAATCATCTCTCAAATCGATGCGAACAGCGAGGCTCAACTGAAACTTGGGCAAATAGCTCAGCATAAAATGACCATTTCATTTCTTCAGTCCGATTTTAGACCAAAACGTCATAGCAAACAATTCAACTGCATCAAAGCTTTGTCGGGTTAAATGCATGTTTTCAGCGATTCCAACGCTTAACGCTTACACACAAACTGTAACACATATTTCTCACAATGAGTATTATTTGGAGTTTCTTAGATGCACACGACCGGTTACGCGGTTCGTGCCGTTTATCAAACATGCACAACCGATAACGTTTTCACTGTATTGATATACTCATGAAATGTAAACATGCATGTATATTCCATACAGACAACTACGTTACGTTTCTTTGCAGCTAGTAATATATAACTCTCCCGCCCAGAACATTGAGTCATAGTACTGGTACACAAATGAACTTGTTTTGAAAACAGTTACATATACTCGGCGTTACAAATGAGAAATATCTGTTGAATATATATATATTCCTATATATATATTTATATAAATCAGGAATGACACGCAAAACAATCATTCTTTCCCTGAAATCGACTCGAAATGAGTTGAACAGCATTTGTTCCGTTCTCCCTACTGAGGACAGGATAAAATTATAACATATTTTGTGGGCTGCTTTCACCATTGGCTTAGATCACACCGATAGTAAAACCAAGTTGTCTGGAACGAAGCATGAAGTGAATCACAGAGCATCGAGTCATTTTATTTTATGGAGTTCGTTGTTCACGAAGTATTCGAAGCAATAAATATTGGTACTATAAGTCCGAGTGAACTGTGAGGCCCCGGGTTCACGACTCTCAGTTAGGCTGATGGATTTGCACCGTTGATAAGACTCAACAAGTTCGAAACAGCTGTACACTGAGTGATCTTAGCTTTTTAGTTCACGCTTGGTTTACTTTGTCCACGACAGCATTCACCGTATAATCGAATCAAATTCCCCGCTATTCTTAGGGTGTTTTCCGGACCACCCAAAGGATCGCAATCTGGTCTGAGCACCCTACTAACATGTCACTTTCCAGCGCTCTGCCTAGCTGTTTCTCCGCTCGCATGAATGGTCACAAATCTTCCAAATTTAATACCCCATCTGGCCGCATTCCAGATCTGTCCATCATTCTGAAAGACTTACTAACTCAAGAACTCCCTCCAATCGAGTTCACCCCAACCCAAGTACGTATGTTGGACGGGAGTCAGGTGGACTGGAATTCAACAGAGCCACCGCTTAATTTACTATCGCGTAAATCAGTCCCCAATTTAGTCGACCATTTTAAACGCGATGGGGCATGTAACATGAGTGACTCCCGCATGAACCTAGTGGTATTTCTCCGTCCGTTTCTGTGTATGTGCATATATATATATATACCTGCATAGCTGTGCAATCGCAAGCGCTGATACATGCACGTACACATCCAATAAGTCCGCACGCGACCCAGTTTGCACGCACGACTTTGTTCCTACCAAGCATTCAAGCTGACTTCCGGTGAGTTAAGATTAGTTGTTACTCCGTTCTATCCGTTCTGTCCACCGCGCGCTCCCACCCACCTACCCACCCACCTCTTTCGATATTCATTATCCCCTTTACCTCCTGCAAAGTGTTCGCTTCCTTGCTCCCTAGTCCTCTCGGAATCTGACTCTCTCTCTCTCTCACATGTGCCACTCTTATGCCATATCAATTTCATTCCATTCCTGTTGATCGGTACAACACACGCGTCACTGAGGTTCAATTTTCGTAGTACAGCAAAAAAAATAGGAAAGGGAGAAAAACAAATCAAACAAGGTCAGCACTCGGCCTGACATCAATTCCCTCGCCCCCCCCCCGGAAAGTTGCATGCTGCTGCACGCAACTGGGACAGATTCATGTCGTGGTGCACACGACTATCCTCGGGAAAAAATAAATGAAGTTCATCATGTCCAGTCGGGAATCGGACTTGCTTGAACGGTTGGTTATGACGTTTTGCGACGCGTTATTTTTCTTCCAGCTACCATTCTCCACTGTGGGTTGATTTGTGAGCACATTTACACGGGACCCGATATTAGACTTTGAAGTAGGGTAGGATTGAAATAATTCACTATGAAGAGAAAAAGTGAACCCTAGATCCCACCATGCGTCCCATGTTCGAATCCGATCAACACCATCATTTTTGGCCTATCCGTTAAAGTGAACTAGCTAAAAAGACGTTATTTTTTATTGATATTGAAAATGTCGTGCATTCCTCCATAAGCGAAGCTGAACAAATGCTTAAGTTATATGGTGAATTTCATCGTGCACAGAGCAGAGAAAGCGCAAACTGAAGAGAAGAGGAGAATTGTATAGCTGTTTCGACCTGAATGTATC